GGTAAACAGCTAAAAGAGAACCCTGGGCCCCCGCCCTTTCCGGGAAAAAAAACATGTGCCCCGGAGGGGGGGGATCAACAAGAAGAATTCATCAGTAATGAGACGTCAACAACAACAATAACAACAACAACAACAATTACTAGCACGTGGGGACACACCGTTCTCACCAGTGCCAGGGTTTTCATAGGAGGCGGGCAATACCCCCACTTTGTGGGGGGGCCGGTTCAAGCTCTACCAAATTTCCAAACGACTCTTCGCCACCACCCACACCCAGCTTCCCGCCCTATGACGTTCGGACACTTCACTTCGTGGCATGCGGACGACCGTGGCTACTATTCAGGGCCCCGCGGCCGACGACGACGGCGTGCGCGCGCGAAGAAAAAACGAATGTGTCCCGCATGGTATTATTTGACAGGGATGATGGCCCTGGCAGGTGCGCAACCGTTGTCGCAGAAGTTCGAAAAAGTTGCTCGCAAAAGCCCGTTTGACAGAAATGTTTAAAAAGTGTTGGGTTTCCTACGAATCCGCAAGAGCGCGCGGGATGAGATTTTGACATTTTTTTGTTGAAAAACCATTGGTTTTTTGATGTTTTTATGTTAAAATCGCTCCGAACACTAAGCTTTTGGAAGGATTTCGTCTTGCGCGCGCGAATGTCCACTTTACCTTATTTTTTGCAAGGGATTCTTGAAATTTGATTATATTAGAACAAGAAATGTCATTTTATAGTGTTTTTTGCAAGGGAAAACGGATTACAACAAAACAACCGGATCTGGATCACATCGTTTTACCTGAGGCTTCCTCACGAAAATGATGAAAATGTAGCTGCGGCCTAGGCGGCGCAGGGGGGGCGCGCACCAGGGGGCCCAACAATAATTATTCTTTAGAATAAATAATGTTCAACAACAACAACAACAACAACAACAACAACAACAACAACAACAACAACAGCAGCGACAACAACGACGACGTCGACAACAACAGCAACAGCAACAGCAACAGCAACAACAGCAACAGCAACAGCAACAGCAACAGCAACAGCAACAGCACCAGCAGCAACAGCAACAACAACAACAATAACAACAACAAATTAATTATCGTCGTCACCACCAACGCAAACACCATGCTGCGCTTCCTACCACTACCCGTTCTCCTTATTATTCCCCTTCGTCTCCTCCTCCTCCGTTCCGCCGTCTTGCTCCTCTCGTTCCTGCCCTCCTCCCATCCTCCTCAATCCTTCCTTCCGTTGCCATGTGTCGTGTGTTCCTCAAGCTCCTCCTCCCCTCCCAATCCCACGAGATATCCTCATCATCCTATATTATCATTTCTCCCTCCTCCTCTTCCTCACCTGTTCCTCCTTCTTTTCCTGCTCGTACTCGCCATGTTGACGATAATACGAAGATTAAGAATACCATTACCGACAACATATATATATATATATACATGAAATATAACAAATGCTCCTGATATTAATCCCGTGGGGGAAATAAAGTTCGGGGCCCAGACGGGATACTAAACGCTATCCCAAAGATCTCAGCATAATGATGAAGATGATGACGAGGATGATGATCAAGATGATCCTGAACGTTCATACGTGTATATACATTCATAATGAATCCCTTTCGGTGGTCCATCGGAATCCTTAGGAAATCCATTGGATTCCTCAGGAAATGCGCAGGATTCCGGATGAAAAGTATAAGATGGCTTAGGGCATCCACAGGATCCCCTAGGTAATCTATAGAATTCCTTCGGACATCCAAAGGATTCTTCGGGAAATCCATAGGCATCCCGTGGAAAACCCTGGGACCCCTTAGGACATCCAAAGGATTCCTTAAAAAATGAACATAAATCCTTAGGAACCCTTGCTACTTCACAAAGAAAGAAAACAACTTCGATTCGCAATTTTCCCCCACGAGTATCAAATTCGGCCTTGCCGCCCCTCTTCCCCGAACAAATCTGCATTGGCCGTTGATAATAATGACCCAATCGTTAAGAATGAGTACGCTTTGACATTCGGGGCGCTGGGTTATATGTATATGTGTCTCTATCCATGTTTGTAAACATATACATATATATATATGAAAAAAACATGATGGACCCACGAACCCGGAAAGGGATATAGACATGTGCAGCATGGTCACGTTTTCACGATACCCACCTGGGCGACACCTCACGAAACATCCCACGAGACACCCCGCGAAACATCCCACGAGACACCTCACGAAACATTCCACGAGACACCTCACGAAACATTCCACGAGACACCCCGTGAAACATTCCACGAGACACCCCACGAACAGGCAACCACTCAACCAGACACCCCATGAAACATTCCACGGGGGTGCGACTGGGTGTGGTCGTGCTGGGGTGTGGTCGTGCTGGGGTGTGGTCGTGCTGGGGTGTGGTCGTGCTGGGGTGTGGTCGTGCTGGGGGGTGGTGGTGCTGGGGGGTGGTCGTGCTGGGGTGGTCGTGCTGGGGTGGTCGTGCTGGGGCGTGGTCGTGCTGGGGCGTGGTCGTGCTGGGGTGTGGTCGTGCTGTGGTGAGGTCGTGCTGGGGTGTGGTCGTGCTGGGTGTGGTCTTGCTGGGGTGGGGTCGTGCTGGGGTGGGTCGTGCTGGGGTGTGGTCGTGCTGGGGTGTGGTCTGGGTGTGGTCGTGCTGGGGTGGGGTCGTGCTGGGGTGGTCGTGCTGGGGTGTGGTCGTGCTAGGGTGGGGTCGTGCTGGGGTGGGGTCGTGCTAGGGTGGGGTCGTGCTGGGGTGTGGTCGTGCTGGGGTGCGGTCGTGCTGGGGCGTGGTCGTGCTGGGGTGGAGTCGTGCTGGGGTGTGGTGGTGCTGGGGTGTGGTCGTGCTGGGGTGGTCGCACCCTGTGATTTATCGATCGGGTCGTGCTGGGGGGTGTGATCGTGCTGGGGTGTGGTCGTGCTGGGGTGTGGTCGTGCTGGGGTGTGGTGGTGCTGGGGTGTGGTCGTGCTGGGGCGTGGTCGTGCTGGGGCGTGGTCGTGCTGGGGTGTGGTCGTGCTGGGGTGTGGTCGTGCTGAGGTGGCCCGCACCCTGTGATTTATCGATCGGGATTTCAAAAACAAGCGTTTCGCCTGAGACATCCTCAAATTTTAATCCGCCGGCCTCCTTCGACCTCGATATTTATCATGGAAAGAATCCGCCGGCCTCCTTCAAGTTGGGCACGGGGGGACATGTTTACATACTAAAAGAGAACCCTGGGCCTACGCCCTTTCCGGGAATAAATCCTAAAAATAAAACTGACAGAAATTAATAGCCCTTGTTAAAAAAATAAAGATAAGATGATATATGAATGTGCTGATAATACTTGGTTAAAGCAGTGTATGAAAACAAAGTATGATGATGATGATATATATATAGCAAAGATCTGATGAAAATAATGATAATGGCAGTCGTCATCGTCATCATCAGCAGCATCATCGTCGTCATCATCAGCATCATCATGATCTTCGTCGTCAGCGGCAACATCATCAGCACCATCATCATGATCATCATCACCATCAGCATCATCATCATCATCGTCATCATAGTAATCATGATCATCATCAGCATCATCATCCTCAGCATAGTCATCATTATCATCATCAGTCTCATCATCAGAATTATCATCGTCATCCCCATCACCTTCATCAACATCGTCATCATCCTCATCAGCAGCAGCATCATCAGCATCAGCATCATCATCAGCAGGCGCATCATCATCATCACCAGCAGCAGAGGCAGCAGCATCATCATCGCCATCATAATGAGAAACATCATCATCATCAGAATCGCCAGGATCCCCATCAGCATCATAATCATCATCAGCAACACCATCAACAGCATCAGCATCAGCATCATCGTCATCAGCAGCATCAGCACAGCATCATCATCATCAGCATCACCATCATCGTCGAAATCTTCACCATAATCATACGCATAACCATCATCAGCGTCATCATCATGATCGTCATCAGAATCGTCATCATAAACGTCATCATCATCACCAGCATCATCATCGTCCTCATCATCATAATCATGTCATTGTCGTCGTCGTCGTCACCGTCGTCATCGTCGCCGTCGTCGTCATCAGCAGCAGCAGCAGCATCGGGGTCATCAACATCATCATCATCATCATCAGCATCATCATCATCATCATCATCATCATCATCATCATCATCATCAGCATCATCATCATCGTCATCGTCGTCATCATCATCAACATCACCATCATCATCACCATCGTCATCATCATCAGCAGCAGCATCATCACCATCATCACCAGAATCGCCATCATCAGCAGCATCATCAGTAGCATCAGCATCACCAGCATCATCAGCAGTAGCAGCATTATCATCATCAGCTGCATCATCATCATCATCATCAGCAGCAGCATCAGCATCATCATCGACGCCATCATCATCATCATCATCATCATCATCATCATCATCATCATCATCATCACCATCATCATCATCACCATCATCATCACCACCACAATCATCACCATCATCATCACAATTATCGTCGTCATCATTCTCCTCCTCCTCATCGTCATCGCCCTGCTTCTCCTGCTCCTCGTTCTCCTCCTGATTATCCTGCTCCTTCTGCTCCTCATCTTTCTCCTCCTCCTCCCCATTATCATCATCAGCATCATCAGCAGCATCATCAGCATCATCAGATTCATATTCATAATCATGATCGTTATCATCAACACCCTCGTCAGCATCATCGTCAGCATCAGCATCATCATCATCACCATAATCATCAACAGCATCATCATCATCATCATCAGCATCATCATCATCATCATCATCATCATCATCATCGCCATTGTCATCGTCATCGTCGTCATCGTCGTCATCATCAGCAACATCATAATCATCATCATCAGCATCATCATCATCAGCATCATCATCCCCCTCCTCCTCCTCCTCCTCGTCCTCGTCCTTCTCCTCCTCTTCATGATCCTCAGTCTGATCCCTCTGGATCACCCATGCCCGCACGACGCCTCTTGAAACCACTCCGCGCTGGCGAAGGACAGCGGGCCTCTGAACTCGAAGACCATGATGCCCTGAAACACAGCGCGCAGAGATGAGAAAAAGCTGGGACTCGAACTAGCACTAGGACGCTGGCCTGCTTCCGAAGTGACAGGTCCGAGAAGCAAGAAAGTGGCGAAAGATGGGGCGGCCGCACCTCGCACACGAGTGGGCTGGGAATGACGGGGAGGTCGGAGCAGCAGGGGGAGCGGTACTAAAAACTTGGGTATCCATCACCGTGCCAGCGGCACGCACCGTGAATTGAAACGCTCGTCAGCTCCCTGGTGGTACGATTTGCGCGTGGTTTTCTAATGGCGCCCCCGCCTCCCCCCCCGTTCGTGCCCCCCCTGCTCGGGACATGTCCTCCCTGTGCTGTGATTTCAAGCACTCTTCACACGGCCCTAGCACGGCCCCGAGACGACCAACGATTGCCCAAAAACGTTTGCAAGATGCCCCGAGGTGAGTCAGAGACGGCCCAAATACCTTTCAGGAACGAGGAGGAGGATGAAGAGGAAGGACGAGGACCAAGGATGACCCCAAAGTAAAGGGGCCCTAAGGAGAGCAAACAAGCCCCAGCAGGGCACCCGAGGAGTGCTCCAGCAAGCCTTGGGGAAGCCATAACCATGGAAGTCCTTCATACTCCTCCTTCTCATCGCCATCCTTCTCCTCCTCCTACTCATCCGTCATCCCTCCTTGTCCTCCGTCCTCCTCCTGACGCTAACGCTGTACGATCTCGGCTCTCCGAAGAGCCGCTGCCCTCTGGCCTGCGTCGTCCTCCCGCCCCCGCTCTGCCTGGCAATCCAGGGAGGAGGCAGCGCCCTGCCTCGAAGATCTCCGCGGCGGGCCAGTCCTCCAGATTCTGCCACTTCCTGCCCCGGCCGCGCGGACGGACGCGGGCCAGTCGGTGGCCCGCCCAGCTGAGGGAGGAGGGAGGGATCCAGACCCCAGGAATCGAGCGGTTGTACAGACTCACCTCATTCCTCCTACCTTCTGCCTCCTCCTCCTCCTCCTCTGGTTGCCCTCCCCTTCCTACCGGCGGTGAGGGGGGACGAATGCGGTGGATCCATAGTTGTCATTCCCAGAGGGAAGGAAGGAGAGAGGGAGGAGGAAGAGGAGGAGGAGGAGGAGGAGGAGGAGAAGGGGAAGGAGGGAGGAGGGACGAGCGGAAGGGAGAATAAGGGAGGAGCAGGAGGAGGAGGAAGAGGAGGGGCAGGAGGGAGGAGGGGGAACGACGACGACGACGACGACGACGACGACGACGACGACGACGACGACGACGACCACGACGACGACGACGACGACGACGACGACGACGAAGACGACGACGGCGGCGACGGCAACGGCGGCGACGGCGACGGCGACAGCGACGGCTGGCGACGGCGGTGGCGGCGGCGGCGGCGACGACGACGACGACGACGACGGCGACGGCGGCGACGGCGATGACAACGACGACGAGGCCAGCTCGGCGCGCTCCTCCCGCCGCCGACTTCCACCCTGCCCAGGATCACGGCGTTCGGCTGGGAGGCGTCCCTCGCCGCGCCAGCCGTGGGAGCGCGCTGACAACCCCCCATCGTGCACCAGCAGGAGTCTGCTCCGGCAGGGGTCTTCTCCTCCACGTCCTCGTCAGCATCAGCATCAGCATCACCACCATCATACTCATCATCAGTATCATCAGCATCAGCATCAGCATCAGCATCAGCATCAGCATCAGCATCATCATCATCATCATCATCATCATCATCATCATCATCATCACCATCATCATCATCATCATCATCATCATCATCATCATCATCATCATCATCATCATCATCATCATCATCATCATCATCGTCATCGTCATCGTCATCGTCATCGCCATCATCAACATCATCAACATCATCAACATCATCAACATCATCAACATCATCAACATCATCAATCTCATCACCATCATCAGCATCACCATCATCAGCATCATCAGCAGCAGCCGTATCAGCATCATCACCACTATCATCAGCATCAGCATCCTTATCAGCATCATCATCAATGATATCAGCATCATTTTCAGCATAGGCGTCACCAACATCGTTGTCATCTTTACCATCGTTATCATCATCATCATCATCATCATCAGCATCAACATCATCATCATCATCAGCATCATCATTACCATCATAATCATGATCAGCATCATCATCATCATCGTCATCATCGCCACCGTCATCTGCAAGACCAAAGCATCATCATCAGAAACAGCATCGTCATCAGCATGAACATCAGCATCAATACCGCCAGCAGCCGCATCAGCACAAACATCATCAGAACCATGATCATATTAGCAGAAGCAGCAGCATCGTCATCACCACCATCAGCATCAGCATCCTTATCATCATCATCAGCAGCAGCAGCAGCATCCTTATCGCCATCATCATAATCGTCATCATATTAGGCAGCATCATCACCACCAGCAGCAGCCACATCACCATCATCAAGCATCATCATCCACATTATGCTCCACTCCGCGTCCTTTTTGGCCTCGTCGTCATGATCATCGTCATCAACGTCAGCATCATCATCAGCACAATCCTCATCGTCATAAGCATAATCATTACCGACAACGCCATCATCATACCACCATCATCATCATCAGCCGCAGCATCACCAGCCGTTACCATTCGCATCATAATCATCCTCGTCCCCATCGTCGTCACCATCATCATCATCACCATTATCAGCATCAGCATGATAATAATGATAAGAACTGGAAAAAAAACAAAGTAAGAAGACTGGTAACAGTGATGATCAGCATCATCATCAACATCATCATCGTCATGATCGTCACAATCATCAGCATCGTCACCGACATCAACAACATCAGCATCAGCATCAGCATCGTCATCTTCATCTATATCAGCATCAGCATCATCAACATCGTCATCTTCATCATCATTACCGTAATATGGAAGATCGCAAATCTATCGTTTCTAGCGCGCTCGCAGAGCGGACTCGTAGCTCAACTAACCAAGAGCCCCGATATTGATAGGGTCAAACGGGCAGCGGCGGAGGGACAGTTGAGCACCAATGGCAAGCACGGGGAAGAGAAGGAGAGAGAGAGTGGCGAGGGTATCCGCGGGGACCCTATGAGACCTCTGCGAGTCTTCTAGAGTCACACTCCTCCCGTTGCGCGCTCTAGGCGGCCCAGGGCGTCGAACACTCTGGCTTGATCGCTGCTTAAGTATCTCTGATGGGCAAGTGTGCTGAACACGGCACGTCTCACGCGACAGGGGCTGGCAAAAGGCCTGACACGGCTTGCACCAGGCACCCTCGGGCCATTACAGGATGAGCTACACAAACCTGTGGGATATTCTCAGCTGTCAGCGCTGCTGGCGCTATGATCAAACAACCGTCAAGGATAGCATGCTCGGCGATAGGTGACAGCCCTCATCTCTGACTATTAACGGCGGGTGACCGTCATCACCTCTGAATAGCAGCGGCGCTAGCTTTTTTATAAAAATAAAAACCCACCACAACAAAATATATAAATAAAAAATGAAGCTGTCGCAATGCGGATATCGTAGATAAACTGGCCATGGCATGGCAGCGGAGCTTCATTCACTCATGCGTCCTTGCGCTTGCGAAATAGAACTTTGGGTGGCGATGTCCCAGCGTTCGGCCGTCCGTTGTTGATCCGCCAACGCATGGCGAGGTCGCGCGCGATGCGGCAGTGCAGATTGTCCTTCTCGGGAGACCCCTTGTTTCGGAGCAGCCACGAACAATGCTTGCGGCAAGTGCGGCACGTAACATAAACACGATTGGCAATGTGGCCAATTATGCACTCGTGTCAGCCGATCACGCAGTGGTTAATCTCGCCGGAGCCAACGGTCGGCGTGCTTCCGCTGTGGCTGATGATCGACGCTGACGACGAACTGCTTACCGTAATGGGCGCTGACGGTGCTGAACTCGGCGGGGCCGTTGGCTGTTGCTGGGCAGCAGCGGGCATCATGCGTTGAATCGCAGCGGGCGCAGCAGCTTGCGCGGCAGCGGCAGCCACAGCACTACTCCCTGGAGGAAGCCCCTGGACAATGGCAGTGCCCACGGCGGTGTCTCTCAGCGCTCCGAGCGAATCCTGGGGGGGGTGCCCTGGATGCCGATGATCTCGATGAAGCCGCAGTCGACGTTTCCTGGATCGGCTCGAGCGGCATATTGCTGATGCGTCCCAGTAGACGGCCGTCTTCACCTCGTGGCCCGTAGACTCGGCGGCTCTCACCTCGCGTTCTAGGGAGCGGTCCTGCCTCTGGATCTGGCTCAGCGGTGCCAGGGCAGTGGCAGCGCGGACCTGGGAAGCTGCCGCAGGCGCAGGCGGCGCTGTACCAGTCGATCTGCTTTAGGCAGAACAACCAGGTGATCATCACGGCGAAGCTGATGCCAATGAACATACCGAGGAAGAGGGCACCACACATGAGGCAATCACCGAGCCCACCCCTCATCCATTTGCGGAGGAGGCGACGGCGCAGGTGCGGGAGCGTTGCCCTTGACCTTGCTGAGACAGGTCATGAGAAGGACGCGAGCAGCGCGGCGCGCGGCTGCCTCGCCCCGCATCTGCGCCCACGTGCTCCGAAGAACGCAACCAGCTCTCTGGCCTCCGTCGTCTGACCGAGGGCGTCCGCGACCATGGCCCAGGTCGGAATCCACGCAAGACGCAGCGCGCTGGCGGGGTAGGTGACCTCCTTGATCACATGGAGGCGACGACGTGGAAGCGCTTGTCGCTCGACTGCCCCGCGTCGGACTTGACGTGACTGACAAGGCCCGTGCTGTCGCTGTAGATCTCGACCAGCCGCATGAGGCTCAGGTCGTCAATGGCGGCTGGCTTCTGCTTCGGGTGATAGGCCTCGGTGCGCAGCTGGCGGAAGCGAGCGCTGATCTCGGCGCCTTCCTGCGCGGCGCACTTCTCGGCGGCGAGGGTCGATTTCACTGATCGCTTAACCGTCCCGGAGTGCCAGGCCACGGGCAAGCAGAGGTCGAAGCGTCCGCCGATGACCTCCCTAGGTCGGTGGGCAAGCCCCCTCGCCATGCACCGTTGGCTCTTGATCCCGTCCACGTTGGCAAACGCGGCGTCACTGAAACACACAATGAGGCACGTCTTCAGGTCGATAAGATTGCGCTTCAGCACGATGGCAAAGCTGGCCGTCGAGTAAACGTGGGAGACGGTTTTGTTGAGAGCCTTGGCGTCCGACACGGCGGTGGCGTTGGCGCGGCGGTCTGCGCAGCTCACTGGGAAGGCGACGCCCACTCTTGTCTGAGCTGCGAGCCGCAGCAGCTGCCCCAGAGTGTGGAATTAGCTGGACACCTCGGCTGGGGCGACGCGGTCGTCGGGCTTGCGCAAGCCGGCCGCGAACTCGACGAAGTCGACTTGGGATGCGGCCGTAGCCTGAGCGATGCGGTTCTCTTGGTCCGCGGCCTCGATGAAGCGCCCACAGTACTGGATGATCCCCTCGACCCGCTCGAGGTACAGCTTCTTTTCCAGCGAGGAAATGGTCTTCCCCCAGGCACTCGACGACGTGCGCTGGGCAATCAGGAAATCGCCCACGCGGGAGTGGATCACGGCGGCAAGTCCGCGCTCGTCGCAGTAGTAGGTAGAGCCCCTTCTCGAGCCTGCTCTCGACGAGGCGAAGCTCGGCGAACACCTTCTGGGCATAGAGGTACCACTGACGTCCGGCGTCAGGAGTGCCATAGATGGCTCCTGTACCCATCGCGATCTCGCCTGGCAGAGTTCCAGGCGACGGGTTCTTCGCGGGCATCTTGAGCAGCAGCAACCTGTCGGCGTTGCCCGACTGCAGGTAGGCGGCCACGGCGTCGCAGGACCCGGCGCCCCAGCCCTTCTGCGCAGCGGCGGCCAGCGCAAGGTAGAGGGCGTCGCGCGAGCCTGCGGGCGCGTCCGCGCGGATCTGCGCCTCGTCTTCTCGGCATCCCTGGACCACCGGGCGGGCCTTCATGAGGCGAGGCAATGCGTTGGCGAGCACCCATCGCGCGCCGACAGGTCGTAGCCCAGGTCGCTTTCAGAACAGCTCCTTCAGCTCCTTGGCGGGTAGTTCCTTGTAAGCGCCGAACTCGGTCCACTTGGACCACTCGAGCTTCATGGCGACGCCCATGAGCTTCTTGTCGCTCGCGCTGAGGTTGTCGTGGCGAGGCTCCTTGGACACAGCTTTGCCCGTCAGGAAGACGTCGCGCAGCTTGAAAGACGCGGCGAGGCCCTCGTCGCGGCCCGTGAAGTGGCTGTCGAGATAGAGGTCCACTTTGTTGGCCTCCTTCGGCCTCCGGAAGCACTTCGGCGGGTCGTCGAGGAATTCTTGGCGCTTCTGCGCTGCCGCGCGCTTCGCCTCGATCGGGTTGTTATGGTCCCGGCGCTCCCATGAGATGGCCCGAGGTGCATCGAACGCCGTGGCGCGCTGGGCCTTACGTAGCCGCTGCTCGCGAGCGCCCTGCGGGCGGCGAGCTGCGGTCTCGCGGCGGTACTCGGTCTTGTCGATTTGGGCGGCGATCCGAGCGAT